CTGTGGGAATCCGTTTGGGCTGCCGGTGGGAGGGGCAGTTACCACAGGGAGGAGACCAGTTGCCCCAGCCAAGGCCATGCTAGATCAGCCCCAAGCATTTGAGAGAGTCCGAGCTGGACCAGCCTCGCTGACTACCTGATGCATACCTGACCCTAGCTGCACGAGTGAGCCCAGCCCAGCCCAGCCGAGTGACTCGGCTGACCAATAGACTCGTGAGCAATAAGCTCCCTGAAACTCACTGCCATCAAGTCCATCCTGGATTCACAGTGCCCCTATAGACAGAGTAGGACTGCCTCTGTGAGCTTCTAAGGTTGTAAATCTTTGTAAGAGCAGAAAGCTCCATCTTCCTCCCACAGAGCGGCTGGTGAGTGTGAACTGTTGGTCTGTGGTTAGCAGCCCAACACATACGCCTTCATGAGCAGCACAAAGTGCGAATCCTTTCAAAGTGGTTTGTTACTCAGCAATAGCTATTACGGTACATCATTTTCACTCTTAACATCAACACAGACTCGGGATCACAAGGTTTCAGAGTTGGGAACTTAGACACTAACATCTTGTGCACCCCTTCTTTGTGCCGAAGACAGACCTCCGTGGTGTCATCTTGAACACTCTTCAACGTGGAGACAATGAGCCCTCACTTACAGATGAGGACACTGGGACTTAGAGAGGAAAAGCAATGGCCCCGAGGCCACCCAGCAGAGCCAAGACTCCAGATCTAATCTATCTGTGGCCCCTCCTCCCAAGGCTCTCTAAAGGACCCCGGGTTCATGGAACGCACGTGCATGATGTTCACACTCTCGTTGAAGATCTTCACGTAGGGCTTCAGGATGTTGAAGTGGAAGGCAGGCGTCAGCAGGCGACGGTGGCGGTTCCACTTGACACCATTACTCAGCAGGAGCCCGTCCCCTGGTAGGAGTCACGGGGAGTGGGCAAGGAAAACACTTTCCCCTACACCCCAAGGTTTCCCCTCACCCATTTTACTGATACTCACCCAGCCAGGGTCTCAGGAATCTGTAGAAGACCATATCCTTGGGTGCGATGGCAGCTGACATGAACGAGTACCGTCAGGGATCACAGAAAGTGGTAAGGGAGGAACTCGCGGGGGGTGGGTGGGTGTAGGTTCCCAGCGAGGGCTATGCACCCCCCAGCCCCCCCCCCCCCCAAGCCCAGCGTAGCAGGAATGAGGCCACGGATAAAGGAAGCAGGGAGGAAGCAAGAAAGGACCAGAACAGCCTCCAGCAGCCAGTGCAAAGATTTCTCACAAAGACGCCTCAACATGCTAGACAAACAATAACATGGCACAACATATCCCACCATGTCTGAGCGTCCAACTTTCTACAAAGTGGACCACATGGATTCTGGGCACCCTGGCACCATCTAGCCTGCTCAGACATGGACCTGAAGGAGCTCATTAGAAAACAACACGTCCAACATGGCAACAATATACACGATACACCTTAGCATGACCACAAGACAATATAACATTCTCTGACATGGCCTAAACATATGCTAACATGCCCCCTGCATGGTCACACCATACTAGATACACCCTAAACTTTCTACAACCTGGCACAACATGCTTTAATATAGACAGAGATATCTGAGATGAGCTCAGAATACCCTACACATGAGCCCCAGACATTATTGAAATAGGGTCCAACTCATGTTCCAGATGTGACCCAGATGTGACCAGATAGATGTATATTTGGACCTACCACATATTTCACAGAAGAACCCTGTCCCAGACACAACGCAGCTCTGACACTGGACAAGCCAAAGAACGAACGGCCCCCTCATGACCAGCAGGACATCTGGACAATCTCAAATGACATTTCAGACATGCCCCAACATGTTCCAATGTCCTGGGCCACAGCCGAGCGCAGATATGATTGAGACCATCCCCGAATGGTCTCAGGTGCAAACACACAGCCGACATGGACACACAGAAGGTGTCACACAGCCATGCCCTAGACACGACCAGCTACGACAGCATCTCAGTGGCAGCAAGCTACGAGCAGCCAATGTCTACCTGAGGCCAAGAGAACAGGTTTGATAAAGGTGGGATGGAAGATGCGGACCACTGGGTTCCAGGGCCCCACCCACCAGCAGCACACGTCTCTGAAGGTGCTGGCCAGGCCCTGCGTGTAGCGGAGACCCTCCTCTGAGCTCTGGATCTGGAGAGGAACAAACAAGACCACCTTCACAACCCTGGAGGTGCCAGAGAGCAGGGCTGGAGGCAGATGCCCACTGGAGCGCTGCGATCCCTGTCCAGTCATTTGTCGCCTCTGTGCAAGGCCCCTCCTGGGTCCCAGCCATTCAGGGTGGCTCAGTCTCAGGCAGCAACAGACTCTTCCCCCTTGGAAACCCAAAACCACCTTCAAGTTCAAGCTTCTTTTACCCCCATCGTCCATATAAGGAAACGAAGGCTCTGACTAATGATGGCAATTGCCACAGAGTACATGACTTCCTAACCCTGAGCCCAGGTTTGTCTGAATGCAGGACTTGTGTTCTTAAACACTGAGCTGCTATGTTCCCCGCTCTGAGAGTCCCATGTCTAGCAGAGTTCTAATAATCACCTTGGGATCTGGTACTCAGACCCAGGCCTGGCCATTCGCAGGTCTGTGGGGAAAGACAAGTTCTCCCCTGGGAACGGAACTTCTCAGATCACTATTTACAATGTGAGGAAAGAATTCCCTTGAAGGTAACAATGACCAGGAAAGCAGCGCCAAGAGATGAAGACCGATTTCTGGCCGCATTGTTTGAGTCCTGGATCCAGCTATGCCTGAAACCCACCCTCCTTGGTCTTTATGGTCAACCGACTCCCTTTCTTTGCTGAAGCCACACCTGATTGAGTTTCTACCACCCACAAAGAAAGGGACCTTAGCTACCGAAGAGTCAGGTATGTGCCTAGAGTCCCCAAGTTGGTTAATGACAGAAACTAGTGGCACACTGTCCCATTCCCCAGTCTGAGGTGCCAAAGGCAGAGGGCAAAGGACAGCAGCAGAACTGAGGTGAAGTCTCACAGAAGAGACACCTGGGGTCTGGAGCAGGGGACTTAAGGACAAGTCACAGGTTGCCGTAGAAGGGACTGAACCATGGGAGTCGGGTATCGTGGCAAGAATGGCCTAGATGCCTTCTCGTGGCCTTCTCATGGTCACTGAGGTGGATGGGTAGAAACCAGACCTGGCAAAAGGCGCAGAAGCCACCACTGCCCACGACAGCACCCCATCCCTGGAAAAACGTTGTGCTCATCATCCCACAACCAAATCCACCAGTCCCTCCTCCTAGAAGCCTTCCGCCATGTCCCCCTGGGAGTCGTCCTTCTCCTCTGGGCTGCGCCAGCCTCTCTCTCCCTCTGATCCCACTGCGGGCCACATGCAGTTGGGGTATCGCTCGAAACCTTCCTCCTGTGATTGCTGGCTCTCCAGCAGAACTCCGTGGGAGAGTTGCGGGTGGTGAGTTGGGGACAGGTGAATGCAGGAAAGAAAGAGAAGAAAGAACAGTCTGCGGTCCTGCAGGGACCAGCCAAAGGCTGGGGACAGAGAAGAGCCTGAACCCTCGGATGCCACCATGGCCCCCGTGATCCCAAGTTCCGCGTTGGTACCTGAGGCGCTGACAACAGGCTTGATGACGTCAGGGTGACACAGAGAGATGAGGGGGTTGACTGGGCCAAGCCAGGACTTAAAGCCCTTTGGGAAAGTGGCCACCAGTTGAGTCAGACTCTTCAAACCCTGCTCCGTCGGGGGGATCTGCAAACAACCAGGAGGGGTCACCTCTCCCCAGAGTGCTACAGGTGTCCACCCCTTCTTGGTTCCCAGAGGGGACACAGCCTCTGCTGCGAAGCTTTGTCAGTTTTCTGTCCTGAGAAAAGGACTCCTTTCTTCCCACCAAACAAGAGCCCTTTGGGGACAGAAGGACCCTAGGAGCAACCTCCAAGTTTAAGGGTGAATCCAAAAGGAGAGCGAGAGGGTACAGGGCTCGGTTCCAGGGGATGAGCTCTCTCATCCTAGTAGGGCTTAAGCGTGGGGGACAATTGCAGTGGGAGGTCTTCCTGGGAAGACTTGCAGACAGCAGGTTGGTATCAGGCCTATTGCATCAGGGCCTGTTCCCTCATTCTCTCTGGGCCTCCTCGGTCCCCATGGAGGGCTCGGGACCCTCCCTTTGAGAAGGACTGCGGAGCTGAGACATTACAGTCTCACGGGCTTCTTGGAGCAGGCGTGAGCTCTGACAATCCAGCAGTCCCTATCGGCAGAGGACATTGCTCTTGCCCGATAAGGCACAGGTATATCTGGGGCGTCTTTCTTCCAGAACTGTTGACGTGCCCCTTCAAGGGTAGGCAGGGGCTAGGATCTGGGGTATGAAGATGAGGAAGAGGAGGGGTTTCAGGATGTGCCATCTCTTAGGTCCTTGGCTTCCCTTGGCAGTCTGAGCCTGAGCCCCAAGACATTCCCTAAGGTCTTCAAAAAGTTCTGGTTACAGCAGACCCCTGAGCCATGCTCTTGAGTCTCGGAACGCCCCATCCATTCAACCCTGAGCCCTTAGACATCTTCCCCCAAAGTCCTGGAAAGACACCCTGCTTCCTCCTGCTCTGTCTGAGAAACCAGAGTCCCTCAGCAACAGGAGGTCCCCAGAGGGAGCCTCCAAGTCTAAGGGTAAAGTCAAGTCTAAGGGTAAAGTCAAGTCTAGGATGTCTTCGTGGGTTTTCAGGACACCCCAGCCATGTCAGACCTCCAGGTTCCTCCCGCCAACGGAACAGAACCACTTTCAACTGGTGAGCTGCTCCCAAGAAGCCCGAGCCAAGGACCCAGTGTGCTTCGTGAAGCTGGTCCAGAGAGGGAGAGGGCCTCAGACCATGCCAAAGAGCAATAGAGGCCGGAGGAAAGGAGGAATCGTCTGAACCAGGCCATCCCCCAAGGCCGAGTCATCAGGAGGGGAGACGGGATGACCGGTGATCTTCCTGTGGGCTGCAGGGCCTCTGAAGCTGCCTCCCAAATCTCAGGAAACGTTCACGGGCGTCGAGGGAGCTCCTCCTTCTGAATGACCGTGGCTTTGAGGAGCAGTAGAAGCTCGGAAGCTCTTCCCCCAGGCGGCTGTTCTTGTCTCCAAACAAGAGGAAGCTGGAGAAATGGGCTTGCTCCCAAGTGGGTCTGGGGTACTGGGAAGGGGAGGGCTTGTTCATTTGGACTGGAAGGCACAAGGGAAGCAATGGCCGCCCAGGCCCCGAAGGAGTCCTCAAACACTGGGGGTGCAGACATTTGCTGAGTGCCTACTCAGGCGGGCTCCTGAGCTGTGTATTGGGGATAGAGTGGTCCCTCCTAGAGCGACCGTCAAGGGGGGAGTGATGGAGGGTAAACAGATGACTGGGCAAGTCGTCCTTCAGTTCCCCATGCGAGCAGGGCCATGGCAGAGGTGGAGGAAGACTTCTCATAAAGGAAGTGGCCAACACTCACCTAGGTTGAGCAATGGGGTGCATTGGCACATCTTAGGGGTGGGGGGTTGAGACAAGAAGAGGAAGGTGCCCCCGTTGTGGCCCACGGGAGAGAAGAGAGGGCAGCATCCCTGCAGAGGCAGGCAGGATGGAGGGTGGGGGGGAACCCTGGACTGTGCACCTGACATGCCCACTTCAGGGTGAGACTGTGGGCAGGTCGGGGTGTGGGTCCACAGGCACGCACAGGCCTAGGGGAAACGGAAGACTCCGACTCGGGGTGCCGGGGGGCACAGACACAGAAAGGGGGTGAGTGACCCTGAGGGGCAAGGAACGACATGGGTCTCCCACACTTATCTGCCCCCGGTTGCCCCTGGTTCATCTTGCTGCCCCACTCACCAGGCCCAGGTGTCCCAGGAGCCAGCTCCGCACTGGAGGCTGGGGGAAGCAGCGGAGGCGGTTGCACTGGTCATAGAAGGTGAAGGTCCAGGCCAGGATGCGAGCCAGGAGCCAGGAGCCCCCAATCAGCAGTAGGAGGCGCCACAGGGAGGCTCCCTGGGGCCAGAGGCCCAGCCAGGACAGGCTCAGCAGTGACATCCTGCAGGCCAGGAGAAGAGGCACGGACAGTGAGGTAAGCCCAAGGGCAGAGGCAGATGGGCACAAAGCAGAAGGTGAAGTCAAGGGTGTGGGTTCCAGGCACAGGATAGGGAGCAGAGATGGGTATGCGTGAGATCAGAGGGAAGAAAAGGAAAGGGGGGGGGGGTGGAGAAAGGAGAGAGAGAAAGAGAGGGAGAGAGAGAGAGAAAAGAGAAGGGGCTGGAGTCCAAGCAGTCTCAACCCCAGGTGCCATTCCCCGGGGAGGCTGTTATGGGGTTACCCATTATTCACCACCCCAGAACAGCTCTCTTCTGGGAGCAACCAGACACGATTAGCACCCCTGTCCCCAGCTGACCAAGACCCTCCCAGCTTGTTACCTCCTGCCTGGCACTCTCTCTCCCCAGCAGCTTGTCCTGCACTGCTTCCTCTCCCCGCCTCCTGGGACCTCTCTGCCCCTGTCAGGGACGTGGGAATAGTTGTAAGGGGCTGGCCCTGGCTGGCCAATCTGGGCAGGCCTGCCTTCCTCCTCCCTGCCTGGCAACAGCCCAAAGTAGAAGGATGGAGGCAGCGGTGTGCAGATAAACTGCAGAGCGGGCTCAGGTTGCTCAGAGTAGGCACTGAATCCGGTAGACCAGGACCTTTCATAAGGGTAGGAGTGGCCAGGTTAATAATCTAAAGTTTACAGCCTGCCCAGCCCTTCTATGGTCAGGGTGGAGCCTGAACTTGAAGGTTTGAGCTTGACACTGTTGGCCCCACCACAGCAGTTGCTGGAATGTGATCCTGATTCCAGCCAGTCTGGGAAGGAGCAGAAGTAACTCCAATCTCCCAGAGATTGCTAGCATCAGGATTGTGGGATAAAGGGCACATGGGGGTGGGGGTGGGGGTGGGGGCATATAGGACACTTGGAGGCTGTGCTCTTGAAGGATGGGGGTGGGCAGAGAGTAAGATGAAGGGGTGCCCCCTAGTCCTTGCTCTATGAACTGTGTCAGCCCTTCTCTGAGCCTCAGTCTTCCAATCCGAGCAATGGGGCATCCCATGGGACTTCAGAGAAGGCTGAGGATTATTCCACAGGAAGGTGGGACAGGTCAAGATCCCTGAAGAGACGGAGCGAAGGGAAGGAGCAAGCACCTGATACTTGAGCTGCCTGTGCACTAGGTACCCCATATAAAGCACCCCTACACGTTTTATAGTGCACCTACTATATGAACCAGCTGTCCTATATATTGTGTGTCTACTGTGTGCAATGCATCCTACAGAAAGCATGCCAACTGTGCACCCACTTCTCCAAATGAAGCGAGCCTCCCATGTGCCTCCCATGGTCTTGTCCAGAATTGTCCTGTGGGGAGGTCTCAAGATCAGCCGAGTTGGACGTAAGGTTTCCTGGTACAGCTGGGAAAAGCGTGGGAAAACAGCATCTTCCTGAAGTTGGCATGATGTTAAGGAGACCACGGAATTCTCTCCTCCCTCACAGTGTCCGCTTCAGTCCCACATGGTCCCGAAGTCAGCATCTGCTCTTCAGAAGGATTCAGGACCCCCCAGTAGGGTATGTAACCTCCTTGAATATTCACCCCTCCACTGAGGAAGATTACATCAGGGACAGGGGGTGAGCACAGATCCAGGACTGGATAGACCAGGTAGAGTGCTCAGAGACTCTAGATAAAGTAGCCAGAGAGTCTCATCTGATTGCAGATCTACTGTGTACCTCCCAGGGATGGAAGGCACCACCAGCATTTGCTGTTAGTCACTGAGCCTACCTGATGTCCTTTTGTGGTGTGTGTGTGTGTGTGTGTGTGTGTGTGTGTGTGTGTGTGTGTGTGTGTTTTTAAAGATGAGGAATCCAAGACTGAAAAACATTTCAGCAGTTTGTCCAGAGTCCCACAGCTGGTACATGAGAGAGCCAGGAACATGGCCAGGATGCCCTGTGTCACATGATTCATCCTTAATCACTAACCTGACTCTACGTGTTATCTGTAAGTGGACAATTCCGTAACATCCGGGATTACGGATTGAATTGCATCCCACACGAAGATATGCTAAAGCTTTTCCCTCCAGCGTCTTTGGAAATAGTCTTGGAAGATGGTAACTTCACTTTGAAGATGTGAGATTAAGAGCATCCTAGAGGAGGGCAGGCCCTAAGTCAATCTGACGGGCATCCCCATGAACGAGCAGAAGAAGCAGAGAGACCAACAGACAGAAGGCAGAGGCGGGGGGCCATGCTGCCACTGCGAGCCGAGCCCTGCCTGGAGCCACCAGAAGGATCTTCCCCTGGAGAGTCCTGGAAGAACGTGACCCTGCTGACACCTGAATTGGGACTTCTAGTTTCCACATCTGTGAGATACCACCTTCCTGTCATTTCTGAGCCACTCAAGGTGTGACCATTTGTTATGGTAGCCCTAAGACACTGACACACCCTCCCACAAGATTGCGGTAAGGACTGAAAGAGAATACAGTGAACCCTCGTTTATCACGGTTAATCAGTTCTAGACCCTACTGTGATAAATGAAATTCCGCGAAGTATGATTCCTTATTTGTAAATCAAATATTTTCATAGTTAGAGCATAGAGGACATGAAAAAACACCCTTTAGTCACCATTACACTCGTATTACCCAATTTATTAAACAAAAAAGGGAAAATACAGTAAAACATTTTGGACGTTACAATTATCATTTATTATTTATTATATTATTTATGGCATCAAGCGTGTACAGTATGAGCCAATCAGTGGCAGTAATGACAGAGCATGCGCTGTTACGCAAAAACCGCGATAGAGTGAAGCCGCGGAAGTCGAAGCGCGAAGTGGCGAGGGTTCACTGTATAGCCAAAAGACTGCACATAGAACTCCCATCTGATCCCCATTGCAGGTAAACACGCAGAAGTGGAAGCAGAAAATGTAAACACAGGTCTGGTCCCCAGGTTCACTGCAGCGCTTTGCACAACAGCCCAGAGTGAGGAGAACTGAGACGCTCATCAACTGATGAGCAGGTCAACGTACTATATGCACATAGACAGCAAGACAGTGAATTGGTAGAAATGTCCAAGGAAAGCTTTGGATGGCTAACTGCAAGGTCCATGGTTCACACCCACCACGTCCTCCATAGTACAAAAAGGAGGCAGTCTGCTCCCTGTTCAAAGTGTGCAGCCCTGGAAGCCCTCGTGGAGTGCTGGATTATGAGTGGGGCTCATACTCACAAGATCAGCAGTGTGAGCCCACCTGTGGCTCTGGGGGAGAAAGATGAGGCTTTCCACTCTCATAAAGATGGACAGCCTCAGAAACCCACAGGGACAGTTCTACTTGATAGGCCGCTCTGAGTCAGAGTCAACTGAATGGCAATGTTTTTATGAGTCATGAGTCGATGCATACCCTGTTTCCCCGAAAGTAAGGCATCCCCTGAAAATAAGACCTCCCCAAAAGTAAGCACCCCCCAAAGCTACCGTAACTCTAGACTCTGGACTGTAGCGGCGGGTGCCACCACGCAGCTCACTGTTGGACGCAGCGCAGCCGGAGCAGACAGGAAATGTGAGGTCTTTTTTAATAAAACAATAAACAATAAATGTGTACCATATTCTTCTTCATGTAAAATAAGACATCCCCTGAAAATAAGACCTAGCGCATCTCTGGAAGCAAAAATTAATATAAGACACTATCTTATTTTCGGGGAAACAGAGTATATATATATATGTCACAAAAGAATAAATATACTGTATAATCTCACTTAACGTGAAATAAAGAAATATAATGTGGTTTCAAAATGCTTGTGAAAAAAATGGAATTCCACAATAATGTGCTCATCTGGAACTTGTACATGGATCAAAAGACAGTTGTGCAAACAGAATAAAGAAATACTGCACGGTTCAAAATCAGGAAAGGTGTGTGTCAAGGTTGCATCCTCTAAAACATACTTGTTCGATCTAGATGCTGATATGAAAAAGAACTTGGCATCAGGATTGGAAGAAGGCTCATTGACAACCCACGATAAGCAAATGACGCGGCCTTGCTTGCTGAAAGCGAAGAGGACTTGAAGCGCTAGCTGGTGCAGATCAAGGATGGCAGCCTTCAGTGTGGGTGATGACTTAATGTAAAGAAACCCCAAACCCTCACGACTGGACAATAGGTAAGCAGCATCATGATAAATGAAGAAAAGGCTGGCGCTGGCAAGGACTGTGTCTCGCTTGGATCCACAATCGATGCTCATGGAAGCAGCAGTCAGGAGTTTACAGGATGTGTTGCACTAGGTCCATCTGCCACACAATATCTCTCTCGAGCACGGAAAAGCAAGAACGTTACTTGGAGGACTAAGGTAGGCCTCACCCAAACCGTGGTAGTTTCCATTGCTTCCTATGCGTACGAAAGTTGGACGTTGAATAAAGAAGAATCAATGCATTTGAATGTGGTGCTGGAGAACGATATTGAAAATACCACGGACTGCTAAAAAGACAGGTATATCTGTCAAGAAAGTACAGCCAGGGTGCTCCTTAGAGGCACGGATGGCAAGCCTTTGTCTTACATACTGTGGACATACTGTCGGGAGACACCAGTCCCTGGAGAAGGACATCTTGCTTAGTAAAGGAGACAGGCAGCAACAACCAGGATGGCCCCCAATGAGCTGGATCAACACGGTGCTGCCCCAGTGGGCATAGGCCCAGGAGCCATTGTGAGGCTGGCACAGGACCGGGCAATGTTTCCTTCTGTTGTGCAGCGGGTGGCTCTGCGTCAAAACTGACTGGAGGGCACCTGACAGCAGCAACTGCTTTACTCAGGACGGTGCCCCGTCTCCAGGAAGTGACCCCTCCTGATGATATGTCCAAAATGGGTGAGATGAGGGTTTTCTAGCTTCAGTTCCAAGGAGCGTTCTAGCTGTATTTCCTCCAAGACGGCCTTCGTTGTTCTGCTGGGTCTCCACGGTCTTCTCAATCTCCACGTCAACCCAAGTCTTCCAAGGGACCCATTCTTTCCCAGCCTTCCTTATTCACTCTGCAGCTTCCGCATGCGTGTGAGGTG